ACCCCTGAGTGCAGAGTAGAGCTGTGCTCCGTAGGGTTTTCAGTGGCTGATGTTTCAGAAGTCGGTGGCCAGCCCTTTCTTCCAAGGCACCTTTGGGTGGGTTCGAACCTCCTGCTTTTCTGTTAGCAGCCAAGTGTGTCATTGTTTGCACTACCTGGGGTCTCCTGACCTGACCTAGGCGAGTGGTTCTCAAATGCTAATGTCCAGGCCTCTCCCCAGACCAATGAAATCAGATTCTTCAGGGGTGGAGCCTGGGCATCTGCAGATTTAAAGAGACGCTGGGTGATTGCACAGAGTTTCAGGGCTGAGAATATGACTCTACTGCCCATCCCGCCCCTAATTCTTTGAGGGGGCGTCCCAGGGCTCTAAAGATACAACAGAAAATCACAGCAGATGTGGGGACCATGGTCTCGGGGAACATCTAGCTCAATTGGCATAACACAGTGTATAAAGAAAATGTTCTACTTTCTACCTTGGTGAGTAGTGTCTGGGGTCTTAAAAGCCTGTGAGCGGCCATCTAAGATACTCCATTGGTCTCACCACTTCGGGAGCAAGGGAGAATGAAGAGAACAGGATACAAGGAAAAGATGAGTCCAAAGGACTAATGGACCACAGCTACCAAGGCCTCCACCAGACTGAGTCCAGTACAGCTCGATGGTGCCCGGCTACCACCACTGACTGCTCTGACCGGGATCACAACAGAGGGTCCTGGACAGAGCTGGAGAAAAATGTAGAACAAAATTCTAACTCACAAAAACAGACCAGACTTACTCGTCTGATAGAGACTGGAGAAACCCCAAGAGCATAGCCCCCGGACACCCTTTTAGCTCAGTAATGAAGTCACTCCTGAGGTTCACCATTCAGCCAAAGATTAGACAGGCCCATAAAACAAAACGAGACTAATGGGGCACACCAGCCCAGGGGCAAGGACGAGAAGGCAGGAGGGGACAGGAAAGCTGGTAATACGGAACCCAAGGTCGAGAAGGGAGAGCGTTGACATGTCATGGGGTTGTTAACCATTGTCATAAAACAATATGTGTACTAACTGTTTAATGAGAAACTATTTGTTCTGTAAACCTGCATCTAAATTACAGTATAAAAAAAAAATTAAAAAACAGGCTGTTCATACAGAAAAAATAAAAACAGGGAAAAAAAGTCACAGCAGGGGTTTCTCAACTCTATCTTAAGTCAAATACAAATTCATGATACTGGGCTGCAATGTCTTCCCCTCTCCATCCCCCTCACACGTTGGATGCTGGCTCCAGCCCCTGACAGAATTTCAGGGCACAGGTGCACATGCAATGGCTTGTGGAGACTGACCTTCCTGGAGGTCACCTCTTACTCCCAGGTGTCCTAAGTCCTAGACCTCCAGTTGACTACATACAGGGGGGTAGGTTGGTTTGCCCCCCTCCCCTGGCTTCCATCCCCCAGGAGAGATCAGGGTGGGGAGTGGTATTAGAGCGATCCGGGTTAATCTAATAGATCCGCTAGACCTCCCTTCTTCTCCGCCACTCTGAACGTGAGCATCCCAACATTCATATACCCTGTGGGGACTCCAAGGCTAACCTAAAGCAGAACTTGAGCTAGGTGTCCGAAGACCAGAAACACCTCCTGGGACCCCCCAAACCTGAGGTAACCTGGCCAGGCTCATAGCCACCACAGATGGGAGCCCCCCTTGTCCGCTGTCACTGTGCACAGTGGCCTTTTCCTCAGCGGATGACGTTTGATGTTGTGGGGTAATTAACCACAGGGCACCTGCAGCTGCTCCATCTGCTAAACTTGAAAGTCAAGTCCTGGAGGCGGTGGTTGCACCAGTCATCCTAACGTAACTGGGGATTTTCCATTTTACGGAGAGTTGAATTGCTCAAGGAACTGAGATTTTACGTCCAACAGATTAGCACGGAAGGCCTATTTACCAGCTACCATCGAGTCGATTCTGACTCACAAGACCCCATGTGTGTCAGAGTAGAACCGTGCTCCGTAGGGTTTGCTGCTGCTGCTGCTGCTTTTTTTTATTGTTGTGCTTTAAGTGAAAGTTTACAATTCAAATCAGTCTCTCATTCAAAAATTTATACACGTTGTGTGACCCTAGTTGCTCTCCCTATTCTGTGACGGCACACGCCTCCTTTCTATCCCGGATTTCCCGTGTCATTCAACCAGCCCCTGACCCTCTCTGCCATCCCATCTCACCTCCGGACAGGAGCTCCTCATTTAGTCTCATGTATCTACTTGAGCTAAGAAGCACACTCTTCATGAGTATCATTTTATGTCCCATAGTCCAGTCTAATATTTGTCTGAAGAGTTGGCCTTGGGAATGATTTTAGTTTTGGGCTAACAGAGAGTCTGGGGGCCATGTCTTCTAGGGTCCCTCCAGTCTCAATCAAACCATTAAGTCTGGTCTTTTTACTAGAATTTGAGTTCTGCACCCTAATTTTCTCCTGCTCCGTCAGGGACTTTCTGTTCTGTTCCCTGTCAGGGTGGTCTTTGGTGGTCGCCAGGCACCATCTAGTTCTTCTGGTCTCAGGCTGATGAAGTCTCTGGTTTATGTGGCCCATTCTGTCTCTTGAGCACTCCATAGGGTTTTCAGTGGCTGATCTTTTGGAAGTAGATCACCAGGACTTTCTCCAAGGCGCCTCTGGGTGGATTCGAACCTCCAACCATTTGCACCACCCAGGGACTCCTGTACAAGAGTAAACTCATTTACACATGTATGCTTACCCTTCCTTTTCATCCCCTCCCCAGAAATCCTTACAGCCCCAGCACCGGGCCCCAAACTTTAGATAACCATTCAAAATGTCCTAATGATTCTGCATAATAGGTTATTTGATTATAACCCAAGAGAACGAAAAAACCAAACCCGTTGCCATTGAGTCGATGCCAACTCATAGTGACCCTACAGGACAGAGTAGAACTGCCCCACAGGGTTTCGATGGAGCAGCTGGTGGATTTGAACTGCCGACCTTTTGGTTAGCAGCCGCGCTCTTAACTGCTGTGCCTCCAGGGCTCCAACTAAAGAGAAAGTGAAAACTTTTTTCTGGGTGCTTTGACCAGATTGAATTTTGCGCATTCCTCGGAACTCTTCACTTCTCCTTTCTACTGCCTAACCTGCGTGGAATAAATAGGATGAGGAAGCCCATTCTCAAGGTCAGGTCTAATAAATGGATTCTTATGGTAACCGGTGCATGCTGCTTTTTCCTGTGATGAGTGTTGATTACACAAAGATTCATAGACAGCTCTGGGTTCGGCTTCTCTCACGGCTCAGATGCCACGGTCGCTGGCATCAAAGAGCCAATTCATATTCTTTATCCTCTGCATTGAAGGAGGAAAGCTTGGAGGACTATATGTGTGTCATGGCTGCTAAAATATTTGTTGGATATGTCTACCATAAGAAGGAATAAGTTACCAAATTAATTATAAAACTCCTGTTCACCTGATCAGACCTATTTTCTTGCAAAGTCATTAACACTTTCATGCAAGGGGTAGTGAATTTCACAGGCTAGCTTGAACTATTTACGCCCTCACCTTGGCTGGGCCTCCCTTAACAGGATGTTAAATCAGGATCTACAATCAACTTGTAAAAGAGTAAGCTGGTTAGTGGACCTTTGGAATTCAAGGGTTCAGCGCTGGGCTTCTAACCAAAAGGTTGGAGGTCTGAGTCCACCCAGAGGTGCCTCAGAAGAAAGGCCTGGCAATCTTTCAAAAAATCAGCCACCAATAACCCTACAGAGCACAGTTCTACTCTGTGCTGTCGCCATGAGCTGGAATCAGCTTGACGGCAACTGGCTTGGCTGGTTCTCCGGCCGCTGTGTTAGTTTGCACTTGATCTTTCCGGAATTGTTGCTGTTGAAATTATTGTTGCTGCTGCTTTTTTTCCTATTTCCTATTCCACTATGTGACATCACATACTCACATACAGATAGATTGAACCATATGATATTGAGGTTTTGTAGGTCAAAACTGATCAAATAACAGCAATTTCCTATGATTCAGCCTAACATAAATGCAACAAGATCTGGAGTTACAAAAAATATTATTCCTCCCAAACCAAATAATAACCCTCTTAAAAAAGTGAATACCATTGTCCTCAGGGCAGCTTAATTTGGTTTTACTAACACGACCAGCTCTGCTGTTTACCTGCTTCCTACTGAAGGGAAGTGGGTGGTGCAGAGGGCGCCCAGCCTGGTTAGACTGGGAAGTTGGTGGTATCAGTACCTGCTGTGGGAATGGATACTGTCTTAGTCATCTAGTGCTGCTCTAACAGAAATACCGCAAGTGGATGGCTTTACCAGGGAGAAGTTTATTCTTTCACAGTCTAGCAGGTTACAAGTCCAAATTCAGGGCATCAGCTCCAGGGGAATGCTTTCTCTCTCTGTCGGCTCTGGAGGAAGGTCCTTGTCATTAGTCTTCCCTTGGTCTGGGAGCTTCTCAGCACAGGAACCTCAGGTCCAAAGGACACGCTCTGCTCCTGGCACTGCTTTCTTGGTAGTATGAGATCCCCATGTGTCTCTGCTCGCTTCTCTCTTTTGTATCTCAAAAAAGATTGGCTTAAGACGCTAATCTTGTAGACCTCATCAGTATAACTGCTGCTAATCCATCTTATTAGATCATAGTGATAGAGTTTACAACACATAAGGAAATCACATCAGATTACAAAATGGTACACAAGCGTACGATACTGGGAATCATGACCCAGCCAAGTTGGCAGATATTTTGGGGGGACACAATTCAATCCATGACAGATACCAATGTAGTCATATAGTCAAGTCTTACTACTTCTCCTTTCATAATCTTCTCACTTCTGGAGTGCTCTAGTTCTTTGAACTGGCTCCGTTCCTGTGGTTTTGCCAGTGTGAATAGTGATAGCACACTCAAATAAGACACTGGAAGTGACCAGGCTTTTTATTAGAGTTGTTCAAGCTTCCTTTATGAAGTTGGCCTAGTCATTCCAGCGTTGCTTCCACTGCCCACCTGACCAGCCCTCTGTGCCTTTCCTCTTCCAGGCGGAATTTTAAGGAAGGGCGCAAAGCTGTTCTTCCGCCGGCGGCATCAGCAGAAAGACCCGGGCATGAGCCAGTCCCACAATGACCTGATGTTTCTGCAGCAGCCGGAGGGGGCCAAGAGGAAGGGGATGACCCTCAGCAGGATCCTGAACAAGAAGCTGCTGTCCAGACACAGAAGCAAGAGCACCATGAACGGCGCCCACGTGGACCCCCGTGTGTAGGGCTCACGGTCGGCAGCCTTCTTCCCATGAACCCGTATTAACACACCAGGACAAAGCATATGTGCCAGTGAGCGGTCAGGTGGCCCTGCTTTGTCTGGCTCAGTGTTTTCCAACAACTTGGTCTTTTAAAGGGGGAAAAAAAATTATATACATATAATTTTTATGTAAAGTCTCCAGCCAGGAGGCTTCCCCCAGAGAGAACTGACAAAACCTCATTTGCCACCAGATGCCAGATAAGACCCAACAGCCCCATAGCTCAGGCTGTGCGCCAGTCTAAGCACTGAGGTTAAATATTAGGAGGAGATTGACATCGTGAACTACGTGTTGTGCTCCCCTGGACTGTGGGGGTGACAGGTTTGGGGGACTCAACTTTACCCAGTCTACACGCTAACAAGTGGTATTTGGGGTCCACAGCGGGAACTCATTACAAACAGGAGGTACCCCTCTTCTGTGCTGTCACTGTAAGCAGAATGGATGGGTCATCTCTGGTTACTGGCTGCTCAGGGTAAAAAGTGCAGCTGGCCCTGATACAGGGTGGTGGGACGTGGGCAGAAGTATCAGTAAATAAGAGAAATTCTAATAGGAATGGAAATACTATGATAAATGTAGGAAGACACTTGCCTTTGATATTAGCCATATAACTTGAAAAATTATGCCACTATGAAATATATCCTATGCATATTATGCTGAACACTTTTTCCAAGTTTACTTTGAGCCTACTTGCAAATGGAAGATATATATAAATTCTTATTATGTGATTTTTTATATTTTTCTCTATCGTGTCAAGAGCTCTAATACCAACAGAGCTGTGAACACATGGATTTTTTCTTCTCTGGCATACTTGCTAAGCAAGAGTGCCAGCGAACCTGTCAGAATGAAGTTAGGGGCAATAACCAACAGCTTTAACTACACATACATGGTTTTTCTTTAGCCCAAGGTCGACTTGTCAAACATCGCCAAAACAAGTAGACAAAACAAGTACTTTTAGGGTCAAAAAGGAAATTGTTTTGTGTCTCTGGTGTTTTGAAGTTTTATAACAAAGGAGCCACACTTCATCCAGTTCCTTCTGTGACTCTTCAGAATTCCACTTGGAACAGTGCTCGACGCATTTTGGGGCACCTTTGTTTGCTGTCCAGTGGGAAAAACATGATAAGCTGGGCACATACTTTTAATATTCCAATGCATCTTTCAAATCCTTTCCTTCTTAGTACACAACTTTCTACTTAGGCTGGTTCCTAGAGTTCACATGAGTCCATTTATGTAGCATGGATCACTTCCCACGGTCGTGTTTGTTAAAGAGCAACTATCATCGGGGTGAAATGTTTTGACAGTTTAATTAGATCCACTTTCCTCCAAGAAGATTTAAAAGGCTGTTAGGAAAAAACTTTTGTCACGGATGTGAGGTCAAGTGAGTGCGATGTTAGTTGGTTGTTAATCATTAAACACATTTCAGGGGCAGTCAAGCTATTGATGAGCAAAAACCGTTGTAAAAAAACAGAATTAACAGAATTTTTTTTCTTTTCTTTCTTGTGAGAGAGATCAGAAAACTAAGAAATGAAGTTTAAAATGCACACTTAACAATTCGTAGGTGCTCTGGGAATTATCAGTGACTTTAAAAGGACTTTTTCACCATACTTTGTTTTCAAGGATTATATCCCAGTTTTGATCATTGTAAATTAGCGCCTGGAGTTCCGAAAGATATTAATCCCAAGTTAGTCTCTGGAGGTTAGTAATAACCACTAGCCTGTTTAGAACGGGTGGTCACTTTAATGTTTGATTTTACTTGAAGTATTAGTGCTGTGACTTAGGTGGTGGGTAGAACCTGCAACATACAAGCATTAATTCTAAGACTGGCCAACATTGATTAGAAGTTTTCAATACAACTTTGGATTTTTTGGTTTGTTTTTGAAATTTAGATGGATTCAGTTTTTTCAAGGGTGAAGATACCAAAGTTTTAAATGGAGCTTTTGTGCTCTAAAAAAAAAACAAAACAAAAAAAACAGTTTTTTAACCATTACCAGTCACCACCAACCCAGCGAGCTCACGGTTTAACCTTCCTCAAGGGCTCTGCTTTTGCGGCTTCCCCGTGGCTTGAAACTTCATCAGGGTCCTCGAAAGTGGTAACTGGGCTGCATCTATCCCGTGTGTGTGAAGCAAGTGAATTAAAGACGAGACAGGTGGAGAGTGCTGTTAAGGACCTTCGTGGGTCCTGGGTGTGTCCCTTTGGTACACAGAGACCCCCCCCCACATACATTTCGGAAAGAGCCAGGAGCCCGTTCTCTAGATGCGCGCTGTCTCCATCTAGTGGCTGTGTTATGTAGAACACTAATGGGTCAGGGGTTTACCCAGGAAATTAAAACAAGCAGGTAGATGGGCACACGCATTACGGAAGCGTCAGGGTAGCGCCAGGGCTCCATGGGCTTCATGGATACTGTGAATGTTTTTTTTCCAAGCTGTTACCCGGGTTTGTTGTTTAATAGCGTAGGGTATTTATATTAAAGTAAATGTCATTGAAGTGAAGCATCCGTTAAGACTATATACCAAATATTCAAAACACTAATTTGTGAATTGCCTTTTTTCCCCTTACCTTTTCTATAGACTTCAGTGGCTTGAGGGCTTTTGTGTGTGTGTCCTGACGAGATTTTTGTAGAATGGGCTTCTAAAAGCCATTCTTCATGAACAGTACCACGTGTCTGTGTCTCCAGGAAAAGGTGCTCATGATGGTTTTAACGGGCTTGCAACGCTGTCATGATTGCTTTGTTTAAAGATGCGCCTGCTTTCTTTGTGGTGGATGAAAACGGACTTTTAAGTGTGTGTATTTTAATGTAGCAATAACAAAAGTAGCAACCTCATTGTTTCAGTTGAAAACCTACTGTGAGGAGAAGCGGTTAGAAGGAGCACTTTATTAAAATCAAGTTTAAGTTGAGCACCAGCCCTTGATTCCTCCCTGACTTGGCCAGTCACCGTCGCCCAGTTACAAATTACATGCTTGCCTCAGTTTTTTATTGGGATTTACTGGCCCACCTAGAGAAGGGTTACGGATGTTCTCCTTGAGCAGAAAGGGAAAGGTGAATTTACTTTGCTGCCAACAAATGCAGGTGTCTTCTGGGTAATAATCTTAAGGCCCTCAGGTCTTGAGGCCTCAGAGTATACGTTGATGGAGGTTGGGAGTCAGAACACTTATCTCTACCAGATAGGGAGCTGATCTCAGTGCCAGTGTAGGCCATAATGCCAGGCCCTCTCTCCACTGCCCAAAACCTGTCCAACGTGATTACCAAAGCAGCCAGCTCAGTGATAAGGACACTGTTGAGTCCTGCAAAGCAAACTCAGGTGACCTTTGGGTAAATTTTCTTAGCATTCCTGTTTTATGTGTGAGGAGGCATTAGAAGTACAGCAAAGTGCCCAGTTTGCTTAGCTACCAACGGGTCAATAACGCACCATTTATATTTTAGCTTTGTAATTTTTTTTCCTCAATGTTATGTCAACCCTACATTTAAAAAAAAAAAAGAAAAAAAAAAGGTTTTCCAGATATGTGACGGCTTGAAGATCAAGTTTGGTGATAAATTTGCATTGCAATGATTGTATTCCTGGGTAGCACTTTAAAATCAAGTTAGGGTCCTGCACCAAATCGGTGCAATTAGGTTGTGGACGGGTCCACTCAGAGACCATGTGGCTGGAGCATGAACCGTCTTTTAAGGAAATAAACATGCATATGTAACACCAAGCACTGAGCTGTCTTTGCCCTGAGTCCTGTGCTGCTCTGGAACCCCCCGAGTCTTCTCGCAGTGTCTCTGTTACCAAATGCCTCCGAGGTTACTGCGTGTGACCGCCCATCACGGTCAACTGTGTGGAAGAAAAGCTGAGCCATTAGCTCATTTTTGCTTCTTCCTTGCTTAGCACTTGCCAAACGGCTTCTTTCCTAGCATTCCTCTTAGAGGATTTATAAGCCATTTGGCATCCTGTTTGCCTGGGTCCCTGGGTGATGCAAATGTCGCCCTCCGTATCCGCGGGTTCCGCATGCGCGCATTCAACCAACCGTGGATTGAAAATATTCGAGGTTAAAAAAAAAAAAGTTCCAAAAAGCAAAACTTGAATTTGGGGCACGCGAGCACTATAGTGAATCCACGTGGCTGAAGCGCTATGTAGGCACACTCTGCCGCCTGCCACCATTTCACGGATCTTTAGTCTCTCCAGCACTCGTTTGAACGTTGTTCGCCTCTCGTCATTATTCCCTAAACAATACAGTACTGTATAGCAACTGTTTACATAGCATTTACATGGTATTAGGTATTATAAGTAGAGATGATTTAAAGTATACGAGAGGATTACTTACGTAGGTTATATGCAAATACTGCGCCATTTTCTATAAGGGATTTGGTATTCGCAGGGGTCCTGGAATGAATCCCCCGCAGGTACTGAGGGATGACTGTACTTGGCTACCAACCCAAAGGTTGGCGGTAAAACCCCACCCAGCGGCAGCAGGAAAGAAAGGCCTGTCGATCTGCTTCTGTAACCAAGAAAACCCTGTGGAGCAGTTCTACTCTGTTTAACACACGGGGTCCACGTGAGTTGGAATCAACTGAGGGCAATGGGGTTAAAAGCGTTTTGTATAGAAAGTCACTGTTTCCAGGGACTTTGGGTCACCATGAATTGTGGGTGCTACAAGTTAGGGTCTGCCTTAGCCTGGGTTCCTCGGGCAGTGAAGCCTGGGACAAGGGTGGTGTGTGGGTGGCACACTTGGGGAGGGATGCCAGGGCACCGGAGTGCGGGCTATGGGACTGAAACAGGAGGGGGAGCCAGCCCAAAGGTGGTGTTCAGGTTGGCTACCTACGATGGGCCGCTGTGGGACCCTGTGTGACCCACAGGGACCTTCTGGGGAGCACTGTCCACTTAGGGGTAGAGGGGTGGTCTGGGTGTCAAATGCCTGTCCAGGGGGTGGCCCATGGTGGGTGCAGAGTGAGCCGCTGAGAGGGGCCAAAGGAGAAGAGGGGCTGGAACAA